CCTACTGCAGCAAATTGAATTTTTCTTTGTAATATTTAGTACAAGTTAATTAGGAAGTGACGACTTTGTCCTCTTCAAATCACTGGATGGAAATGGTGCTTTATTTGCAAATGTTTTATGCGATATTCCAATTTTGCGCATAGTTTCTTCCCTCAGGCAATACATCTCATGAACACTTGACAATAAACGTGGAACACACAACACTATTATACATTTATTTAACACACATACGTATTTACATTTCAAATTTGCACCTAACATACCTGTACAGTACATACTAAATTGTCTATTTTGTATATTGTGTTTTTGCTATTTTGCACATTGTCTATTTTGTATACTTGTATATTATTCTTTTTATTAACTGTGTCTTGTCTTGTCACTGTCATTCTGTCGCACTGTGGAGCTTCTGTCAATTCCTCGTATGTGTAAACATACCTGGCAATAAAGCTCATTCTGATTCTTATAACTTTGGATGGAAACATAGCTACTGATAGTAGTAAGAAATGTTTCTTGAGCAGCAAATAAGCATATTAGAATGATTTCTAAAGTTTCATGCGACACTCAAGACTAGAGTAATGATGCTGAAAATTCAGCTTTTGCATAACAAGAATAATTAAATATAGAAGAGTATTATTTTATAATATCTCATAAATTACTTTCAAAAAATGTTTTAATGTTTTTGAAATAAGTCTCTCACCAAGGCTGTATTTGATAAAAAATACAGTAAAACAGTAATATTAAGAAATATTATTGCACTGCATACAGTAAGTGTTTTGTATTTTAATATATTTTATGTATTTACTATATTTTAAAATATAATTTATTCCTGTGTTGGCAAAGCTGCATTTTCAGCATCATTACTCCAGTTTTCAGTGTCACATGAACCTTCAGAAATCACTCTAATATATTTTTATATTATACACTTTACAGTGAGACACACAAAATGGTTAAAAAAAAGAAATCTGACATGATGTCCTTTATTAACCACAAAGGAGTAATCTATCTTCCTTTCATTGAAAAACTAATACAGGAAGAGACAATTGTGGGTAACAGAAAGCCCCATTTGTGTTGAATAGACCTGGGTGACAATGAACTCACTGTTACAGAAATCTAAGACTGTATGCATAAGACGCCTTCCTCCGAAGCCTGCCAAATGCTTTCACTAATGGCTTGCAATTAGCGTGTCGTGGCACGCACACAAAACATGCATTATCTTGATGAAATCCCAGAAAAGGGTCTAATCTAGAGAATGGCGGATGATGTTATCGTGCTGGGGACCCGACCGGGCTTTTATGAAGTGTTGAGTGACAGGACCACGGCACCACAGAATGAAGAGTTACAGACCAACAGACTACTGGGGGCAGCTGCGCATTCGGTCCTGCCACATGATTTCCATGGAAGAGTACGCCCTCAGTGGCCTTGCCTTCTGTTTGTGTCATTGGCTATACTGGCAGATTAAGTCAAGTGTGATCAGTGGCTCTTGATGCACAAGAAGGAATTCAGGAATTCAGGTAACAGTGACAAATGCATGCCGGGCTGCATTATCAGATGTAGGGGTTATCAGATGCAGGTGAGTCTGAAACACAATCCTTGGTTGGTTTTTACAGTATTGATCACGGGTCTGCTAAGGTCAGTAATCTATCATTCACAGGCTTGCCAAAAATGTCAGACTGCTGTTTTCCAGCTCCTCTTATTTTGTTGTAGTCCATCACTGATATGTTTTGACCAGCACTTGCACTGAGTCTGAGGCAAAGCCGAGCTTTTTAGACCATTTCAAAGAGCGTAAATGCTTAGAAAGTTTTTCATTTTGAGAGAAAGAGTCTTTCAAAGAGTATTTCATCTTTTCAAGTCATGAAAAGAAAGCCAGTGAGCACTGATAGAAAATGAAATGCAACACGTATAGGTGGCTTGAATTCTAATTCTGCAGAGGTATAATGTTGAGATAATACAGTTGGTGTGATATGTGCAGAGGCAGATGATTACTCTTGAGAACAGAAATTCACATTTAGCTAGATTATGTTTTTATTACAAAAGCCTGAAAAATAAAACAGAATGCACTTGGTGAACTCGGAGAGAAACAGCAGGCATCTACACCATAGATGCAGTCTCAGCCTGAGACGTCACGCCCACGGACCGCTGGTTGAACGTCTGATGCATAAGGCAAACAAAATAGAAACATTTCGGGAGTTTCAAAGTTGTCATCTGATTGGTTGAATTCGATTTCAAGGAGATGCGTGTGTCGTGTTCTTTGACGGTCCACGTGAAAACAAAGCCGTCATGATGGCAAATCAACTCATGAAAGAAAAAAGCTGTTGTATTTACAACTGTGACATCAGGATCGACTAAACACTGGATTTTCAAAAGTACAGTATGTTAAGTAAATTTGCACAACATTCTTTAATGAATGATTTATCGGTTGCGTGCCAGTCTGACTTTACATTTTCACACCCTAAACTTTATGCAGAACAAAATGAACTGTTATTGGTTGATTTACATGTTCCTGGATCAACATTCCAATCAACCAATCAGAATTGGGGTATACGTTTACAGGAGATGTCAATTTTAGCCTTATAACCAGAGTTAGGTGCTTCTACACCCTTGTTATTCAACCATCATTTCCCACTGATTCCCTTAACCAAGAAATAAAGATTTTTATTTTTTAAACTGGATGTTTTGAATGTTCAGTGAAAATAAACAGAAATAACTTCATATGAACTTCAGCCAAACTTTTTTAGAACACAGTTTTGTTAGCTGGGGCAACATGGTTGGCGTTGGGAAACATTGTGAGACCAGCTTTCGCTTTTTTTTTTAGTTTATGATACCATCAATTAAAGTTTATGATACCATCAATTAAATTAAATTAGATATGAGCTGCACTTGCATGACTAAAAATAGCTGCCAGAGTGCATTCCCAAGCATTTAAAGGACTTTGTCTCAGAAACTGCATTTTGAAATCGGAAATTGACATCAAGTGGAAATTGCGCTTAACAAATGCTTAGATTTTTTTACTCCATGTCCATGTGATGCACCATCCATTGTAAACTCTAGTGTGTAGGCGTTCTGACTGCACAAAAGCAAAAATAGTTTCCAATCTCAAAGCTAAGCTTGGCTTTGATAAACACATTCAGACTGCTTGTATAGCAATCTGCATTTCTATATAATCAAAATGGACTTTCTTTTTGTAAGAGGATTACATGTTATACTGATGTTTTCTAAACATTTCACATCTGAATACAACTGTGCTGTCAGATTTTATATAGGTCAGATTTATGTGAACCAATATGAGGTATAGCGTGGGAGGGAATACAAGGTGGGCCGAAACAAATCCCAAGGTTATTACTAAAACCACAAGATGCGATGTCCTTTATCTGTCAGAGACAACAGCGTGTGTTGATATATATTGCTTATGACACATAAATAATGAAACAAACTGGCCTTGATCATTATTTAGTGCAGCTCACCTTAAGATCATAGTGAAATCAGATTTAAACTCGAAAAAAATAGCATGTAGTATTTGTGGCAAAATTTGTGTACATGTGAATGTGACCTATATTTTGAGCTGTCTGAAAAAAAAACAATTCTATGAAAGAGACTACTGCCTTTTACTTAGGTGCAAGAGACATGGATTTTAGAGAGGATTACCTAAAGCTTAACAGGTTTTAAAATACCTAATCTAGAAAAAAGTTACATAAAATATAATCCATAAGCAATTCACATTACTTTAGTCGATCAATTAAAGCATTGTGAAGCAAAAAACTGCATGTCTGTAGGAAACAAATCCATTGTTAAGGCATATTAACTGTAAACTGTCACTTCTGGCCAAAGTACAAGTCCATAATCCATAATTCTGCTTCCTCCAGTGAAAAAGTCCTCTCACATCAAAATCCACCAACATATTTGTTCAGAATGGTTTTCATTTGTGAACTGTGCTTGATCTTTGCATATCTCTCTCCTGATTCAGACAAGAGTCCTTTTCACCAGAGAAAGCAATATTATAGATAGAGGACTCATATTTTAGCTGGAAGTAATGGTTTGAAAAAAAAAAAAATTCTTGATGGATTTGTTCATTACAAACACAGAGCTTTTCACTTCACAAAATCCTAATCGATGGACTGGAGTGGTGCGGATTACTATGATGTTTTTATCATCTGTTTGGACATTCTGTCACCCATTCACTGAAGAGGATCCATTGGTGAGCAAGTGATGAAATGGTGATGTAATTTTTTTTTTAATAATCTGTTTTTTTATTAGGAAAATTTTAAAAGGTGGTTAAAAATATCAAATTTAACTTCAAGTTAATATATCCTTTTTGAAAATAAATACTTTCTGAAATTACTGGCATAACAAAAGCATATTCAGTTTTTAAGGTACTGCATAACAGGATTGACCCACTGTGTTTAATGAATTGAACCGTTCAATGAAATTTGGGATGGTTGAGATAAACATGCTTCCTTCCAAATCAAATTACACCTTTCCATGTCACGTCAAAACTCTCAGGTTTTCCCACTCAAAACATTATACCTCATCGTTTGCTCTTCTCCCTGTGTATTTTCAGTTTAAAATAGACAGCCACACACATTGCTACAACAATACCCAATTAAACAATAAAAAGTCTCTCAATTTACTTTGTGTTTTGCTCTGTAATCCCAACAGAAGTACTTTCTTTAGTATAATTGGTTCCAGAGCACCCATTCAAAACATCACAGCAGTAGCATCTCTTATTCCAAAGACAGCTGCAAAGCAAGATAAGTGGAAAGTGTTACTTCCATAGCTCTAACATGATTTATAGTGATGTTACAACGTCTCAAAATATTGAAAGAGTTGTGGATACCTGATGCCTCCAGAAGAACGTCTTCGAAAGATAAATTGCACAATTGCAGCAATCCAAGATGACTGGAAAAACTGCATGTACAATTAGAGGCAAGAGGTCACATAAAGTAAGCGCAGGCAAGAGATTTTAATGCCACCAAGGGACAAACCGATGGCTGAAATGATAAATCTCACATGTGATGCATCTGGTTAATAATAAAGCACTGGGACACCCGGATAAAGGCCTGTGATATTGATTTAAGCAGAATAAAAGAATAACAATCACTTCATAAAAACAAAAACAAACCTTTCTTTTATCGCACCTGACAAGTGGAAGCCATTCATCCAAGTCATCCTCAAACAGTCCCTGTGCATCTTTGATTGGATGGTATTCCATTCGATTAAGCATGCTAATGAGGGCATCTTGTGTCTCATTGCGTCGAAGGCTCTGACAGGACAACAGCAATTAGCATAAGCCATTATCAATTTACTGAGAGACAGAGACTGATTGGTGGAGGGGAGGCATAGGGCCACGGAGCTGGACTTTTAGACAATGAAAAGTGCTGATGCTAAACGGTTTTCCTCCTTGTTGTGATCACACTACAGGACAGCAGGTAGACTTTGCATATCGGATAAACGAGAGGTTGCGCATTTACATTCAAGGAGATTTTATTTATTTATTTATTTTTTTCTGGACATTTACGTTTTGTCTTTCAAGACGGTAATTTATCTCAAACTTCAAAAGAGATATTAAATAGCATCTTGATGGAGCTGAATGAACTATGACTATCTCAGTTCAAAGAATTCAGAGCATTTAAATTAATTTCAGATTAGTCTCAATGAAAGTACTTTATGTGAGTGTGTAGAGTTCACTGAAACTAAAAAACAGAACTATGCAATAATAAATCAATGGAATCAGTGAATGGGACACATATTTTTGCTACTTTAAAAATATTCATTCACGAGTTTTTAAGAAGCACTTCAACAATTCATGCAGAAAGAATCTGAAAACACTATTGAGCCCAAACCTGTGACTCAGAAGGTATGCCAATGAAACGCACACAACATTTCAAAAAGTATTTGCAGGCCTGGTTTGCATTCCACAAATTAAAGAAACCAAACTGAGATCTGTGTAAGCTCTCTCTCTCTCTCTCTCTCTCTCTCTCTCTCTATATATATATATATATATA